TATATTATTATTATTATTATTATTATTATTATTATTATTATTATTATTATTATTATTATTATTATTATTATTATTATTATTATTATTATTATTATATTATATCAATTAATTCATATAATATGTACTAATATATACATATGCATATATTAAATATTTAAATAAAACAAATCTAAATATTATATTTCTTAAAAAACATAGAACATTATCTATTGCTTTATTCATAGTATCGTTTAAAAAGATTTACTTTCGTTTTTCACGACCTTGGTAATAGTTCGAGATTTATTTTATATTTTATACTTAGGATAAAAGTAAAATATTTCATGGTCGCATGACATTTTTGTATTAGTAAAATAAAAAGGTGTTATCATCACATATACACCATATCATAGTCAGAAAAAAAACACACACACACATGTTCCCTCTAGGAAACAAAAGAGAGATCATACAAAAAACTGCACTTTATTTTCCCGTTTCTCTTCATTTTCATTAATTTCAACGACAAAAAGGCTTCACAGAAGATCAAAGAACTAAAAAAAAGAACCCTTTCCTCTCTTGAAGAGAAACAGAAAAAAAGAGAGAGAGAGAGGGAGAGAAAGAGAGAGAGGGAGAGAGAGAGAGAGAGGGAGAGAGAGAGAGAGAGAGAGAGGAGACTTTTCGTCGATTTTCGAACGGTCTTAAGGGTAGAAGGAGAGAGAGGGTAGTTAAAATATCCTGTAGCAGTTCTGTATTAAATAGAGCACGATAGAGTACGAAAGAAAAGAACAATGTAGAATAGAAGTAGAAGAAGAAGAAGAATAAAGAGAAACTTTGGAATGTTTTTTTTTCACAATTTTTCAAACGTTTTCTACAGAAAAAAAAGAAAAAAACAAGAAGTTTAGCTAGTTCTATTCAACTTCACGTCAAACGTAGGATATAAACTAGACGCAAATGAGTTTTATTCTTCTCTCTCTCTCTCTCTCTCTCTCTCTCTCTCTCTCTCTTTATTTGTCTTTCTCTTTATCACTTTTCAACGCATAAGGATTCTCCTGGTAGAACGTCCATGACCGATATCACGACGCTATCGATCGAATATCAAATTGTTAGGGCTTCTAACCTACTCTGATCTACCACCACCCACACTTTCTCCCTTCCACCTCTCTCTTCTTTCTTTTTTTTTTTTTACTCTTCCGATCCCTCTCGACTTCGTTTTCTATGACTGATTATTTTTCATTCGTTCTATTTCTTTCCCACTCTCACCACCCCTCCCCCTCATCCCACTTTTCTTTCTTTTTTTTCCTCTATTTTTCCTTCGTACTTTTTTCCCTTTTTTCTTTTCGGGAGAAAATAAGTTTTAATGCAATCCCCGGCTAGTAGTAGTAAAGGAAGCACAAAGGGATACCCTTTGTACCTTCTATACGCGAATTCGTCCTAGTCACAAGCTCTCCTCTCTTATCCGACGACCGATCGTTCTATTTCTCTTTCTTCTTTTTTCTTTTCCTTTTTCTTTTTCTTTCTCTCTTGATCATGCCACCCTTCGTTTCTTCCTTTATCAAGTTCGTGCTTTCTAGTCTTGCTTTTTTACTATGATAGAGTAAGACTACTCTAAAGATGGATATCCCTAGTTTAAAGAAGACATTTTTATGCTTTTACTGTACTTAACCGTACAGTTCACGGAACTAACTAGAAAAATAAAACAAAACTGGGATGAGAATTATCTTTAGAAAAAAAAAAGTAGAGTGATGATTTTTATTTTATTATTTTTCAAATTAAAATTGTTCGAAATTAACCCCTTAACTCCTTGGGGCACAGAGGGATTAAAAGTGTCCCACCTTTTTTGATACATCGTAATGCACGGTGGGACATTTTTAGTCTCACAATGCAATAGCTACACATGCTCATAAGATTATATATTTCGTCTTATTTACGCAAAACAATTGGTTATTAACTCTTTTTTTTATATTTTTACATTATTACATTATGTAATACCTTTATTAATAAAAAAATATACCAATTTAGTTTCATTTAAAACGTAATCACACAACATAGGGCTATTTTATTATCTGAAATTCTATGCCGCAAAGAGTTAAGCAGCATTGATTTTGAAAAAAAAAAAAAACTGCAAAAAAATTAATTTTTTTTTGTTTGCATTAAAACATAGTTTTGAAAAAAAAAACGGCCAAAAAAATACAGAAATAATCAATATTTTTAAGTTAATTTTGGATTTTGTTCCACATTGCAGAGAGAAGAACCGAATATTGCAATGTTTACACGTACGTCGACTTTTTAATCTTTCTTTTCGAATTACTATTTCGGAAAAAAACGATTTTTTTTTCTTTGCTTTCACATTCTTATTTTCAATTTTTCTATTATATTTGAGTGTAAAAAATCATAGAAATATAAAATAGTAGGCCGTTCAAGTTAACTCGAGCGCGCGGAAATCGGCCGGTTTAAGACGCTCGAATTAACTCTAAAAATTAACAACACAGTTAACTCTTTACTCTTATATATTATTAATAATTATAAATATACAATTTTCTTGCTTAATGATTTATTTTTAATGATTTTGATCAATTGAAAACTTCGTAATAAAAATATTGATTGATTAAAACAATAAGACAATACGAAATACTAAGGTTAAATAAAACGTTGATATTTTAACACGGTGGCACGAGCTCCATTCTGTCGGAAATGAGCCCAACCCCTGGCACGAGAATAGATTTAAAAAAAAAAAAAAAAGAAAAAGACGAATGTATTAAAACAAAATGGAGGGAAAAAAATGAAAAAAAAGTGGGCCGAGCCCCCTGATTAAGATGGAATTAGGACGAGAGGAAGAGAATGATTCTATTTCCCTTCTCCCTCTCTTCCTCCCTCTCTACCACTCTCTCTCTCTCTTTCTCTCTCTCTCTCTCTCTTTCACTCTCATTCGTGTTCGCGTTTATTTTTCATCCTTGCCTCGTTTTATTCGATGTCCGAACGGAACGGAAGCACCTGCTGTTTCACGGATAGAGGCCCTCGTTTATAAATCCAAGGTAACATCGATGTTATGGGCGTCATGGTCAAACTTTTCTCTCTCTCTCTCTCTCTCTCTCTCTTTCTATCTCGTTATGCAAGAGAAAAAGATAGATCGGTGAAGATGATGAGAAGATAGAACCCTTAGAAGAGGGTTATTACCGGCTTGTTAGGCGGAAGAAAAGGCAGCTGCTCTCCGTTTAAGTTCGAACAATTAAATTGTCTGCTCTCGATCCGACCACCTTCGTCATACGTACCTATTTGGGTTCCCCCGCCCCCCCCCCTCCGTCTTCCCACTACCATTACTAACCAGGTAACCAGCCTAAATCTTTTTATCTATTTCTTATCTTGTCTCTTATTTCTTATCTTGTGTTCTCGTGTCTCTTTTTCAAATTCCTTCTTTTTTTTCAGTTTAGTTTTACAAGAATATTTCATCTACTTTTTGGTTTTTTTTTTTTTGGTAGTAGTGTGAATCATTAGTTTATCATGAAAGGAACATCAAGGATTTGATTTTACTTAAGTGACAATTTTCTACGTAACAAGATTTGTATTTTATTCGTTCTTTAAGTTTTTTATTGCGTACAATATATGTCAAAAGTTAGGAATTAATTACCTGTATTTTTTTTTCTAATTTCATGATAATCTTGTGTATAGTTTGTACAGTTTTTAATTTGAGATGATATTATTAAGAACGAACTTTTTTATTTGTAATAATTATTCGTTGATAAAAAAAAAGAATTATACTAATCCAGGGTTCGACAACCTTTTGAGTCGGAAGAGCCAAAAATTACCATTTACAAAATTTCGAAGTTTTTAAAGAGCCACCAAATTTTTTCTTGTCAACAATAAATAGTACTCATATAAATAAAGTTAGTTTTTTGATAAAAAGAAAAAACTAATCTATTTATTCATCGGTGTCTAATCCTTTTTTTTTACTAAACTCTTTTAACTAAAGAGCCGCATGTGGCTCG